AACAATAAACAACTTTTTAGAACAATATAAAACTGATTTAAAACATTGTGTTTTAAAATACTTGCCATCCTTAGTTAGCTTATTTAATTAATAACCTATTTACATCTGTTATATATCTGTATATTTTATATAAGTTTAAAAATCAGTGCAAACAAAGAGTAAATGTGTTTATGGGCTAACTCAAAACACATCCACAAAGGTTGAAAACACTGAGTCCGGTAAATTATGAATTTAAAAGCTCGATGTGTGATGACACCCATTTAATCATTTATCACTGTTATACAATCTAATAACTTTATTTTAATCTACACTTGCATGTTTAACAAGTTTGTATATTATGTACAGTTAAAGAATAATGAACTTAAAGTATATGGTCTAGCTCAAAACACCGCAAAAAGGTTTTAAAGGTTTTAAAAGAGTTTATCGGGATGAAAAATGTGCAAATTGCAACCGACATAACACATCGCCAGCTTGGTGTCAATCATGTGATCCTGTAAATAAGGATGTCGATTATTGTATTAAAGAATTTCAACTTAAAACCCATCTTATGAAAATGTAATCGAATGGATTCCTTTTAATAGATTAGTTAATATTCAAAACATTGGTAAAGGGGGATTTGGCTCTGTGTTTTCGGCAGCGTGGTTAGATGGTAAAAGAATAGTTTTAGGTAAATAAGGTTTATACATACGATCACGTACACCATGTGTAGTTGCACTTAAAACTTTACCTGGTTTGCAAAAGAATTTTGAGAAGTTTCAAAAGTTACACGGAATTTAGATTAATGGGTAATAACCTTGAAGTGTATGGACTAAACACAGCTAATAATGAATATTTCAATATGCAAATATGGAAGTCTTCATAGTTTCCTGTCTTAAGATCTTAATTGGAATGTAAATTAAAGCAACTTGCCGATATATCCCAAAATTTAGCCAAGTTCATGGATCAGAATATGTTCACGGAGATTTTCATAATGGTAATATACTGCAAAATCAACATATTAATGGAGACCTAATATCTTATATTGCAGATCTAGGATTATCTAGAAAGAAGGATGATTCTGATTTAGATGATAGTGTTTATGGCGTTTTACCTTACGTTGCGCCAGAAGTATTAAGTAAACAACCATATACGAAGACCTCCTCATTATGATGTTGAGTACGATGAAGCGTTAGCTATTCAAATATGTTGTAATGGATCACGTCCTGAACTTGCTAAAGGCACACCTGAATGCTATACTCAATTAGCAGATAAATGTATGGATGCTAGTCCTTCTAATAGACCAATTGCATCTGATATCCATAAAGAATTATCGAGATGGTACTGTAACTTCAGGCGCCTGAAGTTGGCACCTGCCTAAAACAGCTAACTAGTGCGTGCAGGATGATCTAATTTCAGAGGCTAATTTCAGTCAGGTGCAACTTCAGGCACCTGAAGTCCCAACTTTAGTTGGGTGCCAACTTCAATCACGACAGTACGATATAGTAGTTAAAAAAATAAAATTGAATTGGAAATATTAAAACATTCCAGTCTGCCGATCATAGGATGATTTTCATATGATTGGTTGTTTAAGTCAATTTAATTTTACATTATTTATACAGTTTAAAGTACTTTTCAAAAAAAAATAAAACTACAAAGAATAAATGAAAAAAAAATACATAGTAGGACTCCACTATTGAAAATGATCAAAATCCTTTTTGTTTTAGCGAAGTTAGTATTATAATAACTTCTTAAAAATAGATAATACCTCCTATGTGCTTTTTTTCATTTATTCTTTGTAGTTTTATTTTTTTTTTTTGAAAAATAATGTAAAACTAAATTGACCTAAACAACCAATCATATGAGATGTTACACGACTGATCCTTCACACGATGTGCAACATATATAAAAAAATTATTTTACAATACCGGGATTATAATCATAACATGTACTAGCGGAATGATCTGGTATTGTAAAATATGTTGCACATCTTGTGTAGTGATGCGAACGGCTAGAGCCGAGCCGTGAGCCGAACGGCTAAGCCGAGCTGATCATCGGCTTGGCTATGGGTCTACTAATAAGGTATCAGCTCCAAAAATGGCTTGGCTAAGACCTTGAAGCAGATCATCGGCTCACATATGGGTCTACTAATAAAGTATTGGCTCCAAAAATGGTTGACTATTAGCCAATAGTTAGTAGATAATCTAGTATCGAGACTCAACTTTATCGCGCTTTTTTAAAAAACTATTTCACCAAAATAAAAAAAAAAAAGCTAATGCTGCAACTAGTTAAAAGATTTCCTAACTGGCTAAATAAAAAAAATCGAAGTTTCCTCGAATGCTAATAACTGTTGTATAGTGATCGGCTTATAAATGGCTCGGCTTGAGGGTGATCGGCTTATAAACGACTCGGCTCTGGATGTAGGGTCGAAGGATCGGCTCAGCTTAGTAAATGTTAGCCGTGAGCCGAGCCGTTCGCATCACTAATCGTGTGAAGGATCAATCGTGTAACTCCGACGATTCCTCCTGCTCCCCTGTGCTTATGTTACCCGATCTGATCGTGGTTTATCATCACGTGGTCACGCACACAACACTAAGCGATCCTTTCGTTCTTCTTTATTAGCTAAGTATTCTATGCATATATATTATTATTATATATATATATATATATAGTTTTATGCATTTTTACTAACCCGACCAATTAAATGTTCTAAATCGATCCCTCTTTCTAGATAGGCGTTTACTAATTTTCTCCCCAAGTTTCTGATCTGGCCAATCAGAATGCAAGATCAGGTGTAACGTGAAGATCAAAACAACAATCGCGCACTAACAAAAAAAATTCCTTGCAAAATTTTAGTATGAGGTTGTCCACTAACGCTAACCCCAAACCCTAACTTAGGTGTCACGTTTTAAATAGAAAGTGATATGTAAATTGGTGCGAATAATCCCAGCCAATAGAAACTTGGGGGAAATTAGTAAATGCACTAGATACTAGAGACACCGTATACCGTTTTTCACTGTGACACTGGAAGAGTTGCAATATTACGTACTAAATCGAAAATATATAAAACTGATCATGCATTAAACCAATTATAAAAAAGGGCTTCTCCATGTAATCAATCGAATTGGATCCTTGCCATTATTTCTTTGTTAAACAAATAAAACTATAACATACAAATATACAAGTAGCCATGTAATAATCAAGCTTCACTTTCTATTCAACAAATATAAGCAACTCCTTCGGTAGACTGTCTTGGTTAAACAGCATGTGTATCCAGATTTGTGAAAGAACTGCATTTTTCTTAAAAGATACTATAATTTTTATTCAGGAAATAATTTTTAGGCATGATTTCATAAAAAATATTTATCAAATAAGGAGCCAAAAATAATTTTTTACGATAGCTAATTAATAGCTTTTTGTACAACAAAGGTCTCTAATTCTTCAACAACGAAGCTTTCATCATTTAAAATCTTCTTTTCGTAATGACTTTGTATACAGGAACCATTTTTCCTATTTAGAACTAAATCAGAATTCCCAAAATTCAACCAAGAACTACGACAATTAAATATTGCTTGTGATGGGACTTTCACACGGCTAATAATATGAGTGTCAAAACTTTTTCCATTTTCAAAGCAAAAGATAAAACTATAAAGCAGAAATTATTCATATAATACACCTATAATATATACAATTAAAAACAAGTATGGGCAATAGCAACTCACCTATCATCAGTCGATTCCCACTGGCTATAAGAACGATAGTCATTGTAGTCATTATGAAGAGTAAAAGCATTACCATAACTTCTGAATTTATTATCACGATGACAAGTAAACCTATTATGTACCATAACTTCTAGCGCGAAAATTGCTATTATAATGGCTAATAGGTTTCCAACCTAAGAGATTATATCCACTAATTATCTTGTATGAGTCCAAGACCTTAATTAACCCAAGAATTGCGCCATTACAATTATTAGCAATAAACTCATTATAATCAAAACCATCGCGTGTTGCTCGGTAAATAAGTGTAAACTGGTAAAAAGGTTTCCCCGCAAAAGTAGTTCTTTTTTCAATCCAATTAGATATGATTGCAGCTTTATCCCCTTCAATTATAACAGAATCAATATTAATAGACCTAAAATGTGATGGTAGCCTTGAAACTTCAAGATTTACATTTGCCATCAGATAAGCTATTAAATTTTCATAAATATAGGCCTAACATGGTAATAAAAATCACTTCTGGATATTTCATGAAATCGAATAAATGGGTCTAGAGATTTCTTGAATGATGCAAAATCATCCGCTTTCCAATTAGTAACATCTGCATTTGCAGACATTTCATCAGAAGCAATAGATTGAGCTATTCCCCATTTCACTAAATAGTTCCAAATATCAATTCCTTCAATATCCAAATCAATTCTCTTGATAAGTTCCAAAAAGATATCTTTATCCAAAGTCAAAAATTCCTTTAACTCAAAGAACAGTTTTGGATCTTTGCAAATAATTTTCATAATATATTCTTGAATATCCTAACAACTTTGAATATTGAAAACTTTGTGTAAAGTGATGAAGACATTTTTCGCAACCAGAATGATTTTTTATCAATAAGCTAAATTATTTTATATTTTAATTTATTGCTTATTTGTAAAGTAAGAAAATTTAAAAGTTTTTGATAATAAGTAATCTTACATGCTTTTCGATATGATTAACCAATTTATCAAGAGTTAATTCGTCGCATGCAACTAAAAGTTCAAGAATAGTAAAACCTGGTTGATCTGTTAGATTAATAACACCTGCATAAATATACCTTTAAGAATTATGAAATAAGGAGTAAGAAAGAGTGTATGGATTCAAAAAAAGTCATTAATAACAATTTTAACATACCGAAGTATTAATAGAAATACATCTGGGGGATATTTGGTTTTTAAAAGTGATGACACCGTTTTTATTGTTTACCCGTTCACTAGATAAAGCAATTTTAAAATAAGGTGATCTAGAGCACAAAATATTTGAATATACGTTAAATTCTTTAAAATTTGATTGTTCTCCAACTTGAATAATGACATCAAAATCATCTGATTCATCTAAAAGTTGAGAAAAATCCTTTGAAAGATCCTCAAAAAGTTTTATAACGACCATGAATACGTAAAGTTTTTGTGAGAAATGCTTCATCTTTAATTAAATACTGTACAAAGTTTATTCAACTTGCCAATCAGATAATTACACGGTGGCAATATCATCTGAGCATAAACTGACTATCTGACTTCTAAGTGTCTGAATCGTGATTCTGATTAAAAAACCTATCGCCATCGACCATTCTTTTGAAAAGACATATTAGCATTAACGTAATACAGTAATGGGACCATTACTATATATTATACACAATGAATCATGCATTTACCTTTCTATTACTGTACGGCCGTTTGTAAAAAAGGTGTGAACAAATGTAAGATTGCTATATGATTATGAAGATTTATGATATTTCCCAGAATCTTTGGCATTTTTTTGCATTTCAATTAGTGTTCCGCAAAAGATCCGGGTCCGGTCCGGTCCGTTGACGGACCGAATTCGGACCCTTGATTTATCAGAATCGATACGGGTTCGGACCCACGAAGATCCGCCCGAATAATACTCGCCAGGTCCGAATCATGCGGAACACTAATTTCAATATTACTTTTCTCACTTTATATTTACTTTTGTTTATCGATTTAAGCGTTCAATACAGGCCTTTTTATTAGCTTAAATTAATTAGTTTTTGACATATAGCGGGATGAACAAACTTTTCATTATTGCTCGATTAAATTATTTTATTAAAACACAGCTGAAAAACACACGAGAATTTGTTTGCTATCCTTACAAGTTCCACCTCCTATACTCTTATAGCTAAGTTTTACATTCCTTAATCAATGCTAATGGAACTAACCGGCCATAAACCTTTCAAAATTATATATATCAGAAACCAACTCATAACTCAACCTAACCAACCTACAATGTTTAAACATACGAGGAATGCTGTCGAGGAGATACGCATATAGCCACAAAGAAAATCGGTTATGCAGTCATTTATGAAGTGATTAAAGTGCTGCTTATTTTGACAAAGGAAATCCTTGTACTGTTATTGGAATCGCATAGCCCAAATTCTATTTAACGAAGATTATTTTACTGCTACTGCAGCCGCAGTACCTAATTGCCACCAAACAAGATCTTGCATTGCAGACACTGAACCTGATATTGCTTATCACTAACATTTAGTTTATTAAATCAAGCGCAAAGCACTAATCTCAGTTGCTGAGTTACAGCAAGATGAGTGGGATGGGAGGGATAGTAAAACCAGCTTTCCTATGAGGAAGCGACTTTACCAAAAAACAATCCTTAAATACACTATATTAACGAAAATATTCTTCCCTTCCGTCTTACTGATTTCATACTTTGAATTCATGATCAGCACCTTTACTCCATTACCAATTAACTAATACTTATTCAACGCTTAACAATAATATGCAATCATAATTTAAACAGCATCTAACAAGACAAAGCAACAGCATTACAGGACGTCCATAAAAGACTAAAACGATGTGACTCCGTAAGGTCAGATTAATTTCGATTTACATAATATATACATCTTAGTGAAGCATCGATATTAAACATGTGCTTCTGACATAACAATTCAAGAATGACAAGATTGCGTGAAATGGTTTCAATTTAGAATCACTCAGTGTGATTGAATAATTTATTCGATAGACTAAGCAATATTAAAAAAAAAAAATTGTTATATGTTCTAAATTGTATTTAACACCACGGCAAACCTATTACATTGTTCATAGGACGACTTTCTTATGATTGGCTGCTTAAATCAATTTAATTTTACATTATTATACAACTTAAAGTACTTTTTAGAAAAACAAAACTACAAAGAATGAATAAAAAAAGAAGTATGTAGAAAATTTATTAGGGTTGTAGGACTCCACTGTTGAAAATGATCGGAATCCCTTTTTGTTTTAGAGAAATTAGCATGATAATTTCTTAAAAATAGATCGAATTAGAGATTGGAATCGAATCTTTAATTCACTGAATATTCGAATTAATTCGATTTAAAATTATATTCGAATTAAGTTAGAATATTCATGCTATATAAGGTAGCCGTTATATAAGCAATACAACCGTTATGTCTACAATGTAGTCGTTAAATCTATGTATGCGATACACTGTATTATAACCGTTATAATCATTATAGCAGTTATAACCGTTATATCCATTATAGCAGTTATAACCGTTATATCTATTATAGCAGTTATAACCGTTATATCCATTATAGCAGTTATAAAAATATTCTAACGGTCTAACAATTATAAAAGTATTCTAACAGTCTAAACTGATTTAATGTTTAATAACAGTTAAAATCATTTACGCGAATCAGTAGGCGAATCAATAAATTTGAATGTTATATGAATTATTCGAATTAATTCGAATTCAAATTAAGCAAGTTCGAATGTAAAAATTAAGTTCGATTCTAATCTCTAGATCGAATTATGTTATTTCCATGCGAACTTTTCTAAAAAAAAAGGGGTTTCGATCATTTTCAACAGTGGAGTCCTACAACCCTAATAAAACTTTCTATACACTTCTCTTTTATTCATTCTTTGTAGATTTATTTTTTAAAACAGTACTTTAAACTGTATAAGTAATGTAGAATTAAATTAGCTTAAACAGCCAATCATATATGAAGGTCGTTCGGTGAGTCTGCCATTGTCAACCAAATTGCCAGTTCGCCCTAAAGATAAACTTACAAGTAAACTGCTTAACTTTGAAAACCTTTCGGAGCCAATTAACCCTTTATCTGCAGAATGGCGAAAAATTTCTAGTAAATAATTACGCTTAATTTAGTTAAATGATAAATTTTTAATTACTTTTTTAATTTTAGGATCTAGAAAATGTGAATTCCTGTCGATTCCTGATGACCATTATAACCCTTCCACTGCATCACCGTCAAAAAAGCTCGGACATGTGAATTTGGTGACTAGGATAGACTCAATAATTTCCGAATAATCATAGTTTTTATGTGAAATATGGATGATATTGTAATACTCTAGTCATAGTTATGATTTTTCGTCTATATGACTGATTTGTAATAATCCTATATATATAGTTACAAATAGCTTTTTATTGTCGTCTTCATTTTTTTTTTCCTGCTAACGTGGATTCGTTTTCCGCTGTTCTAGGTCCTATGCGGCTTGCGTTGATAATTTAGTTTTAGATTATGTTAAAAAATCCAAACTTGTAATAACTGTTACTAATAAACAGAAGAAATCTGTAACAGATAATATTTTATTTAACAATAAATTAAAAACTGATTGGATTTCTGAATAAAATGGTTATAAAAGTATTTTCAAATAGTTTATATTGTATTTGTATTTTCATTGTGAAATAAGTATTTGCAATCACGTATTATATAGTTTAGATAAAAAATCCAAAAATTAAAATTACAATTTAAAGTTCGAGGAATAAGAAATGCACCGCACAGCCCCTATTCTTCGGCAAGAATTTCTCCGATATCTTCTGCGCATTTCAGGTGATCGATCTCACATGACGAACTTCCATGATTAAGTGATCATCACACCGGACTAGCTGGATCGGGAATGTATGTGAATAAGCGGTATATTTTTACATAAGCACGTAATTCGAAAAAAATGTTATGGGAGTGTCTCTTACTCTTGAATGAATTACTGTGAACTATGCAGATGCAAAAAATTATTTTAGTATCTCACTCAACCCTCATAGTCAGCACAAGTTGATTGATCCGACAATCTCATTATCGCAGTCCCACCCATATAGTTTATGACTAGCCCAAATTTTGGATTATAAAAAACCGTTCCCTCAGGGAACGATCAGTCATGTGATTTCTCTTCAATGCTTCTCTGCAATACATAAGAGAAGGGTGAATTGTTATAAGATGTCAGATATTAGGGATTTTGATTTGGATTATGATTTGTAATAATATACACTTTTTCGATAACTAACATTGTGGCAGATTAAAATGAAATCAGATTAAAATGAAACGAGCGATAGTGTAAAATAGACAAGCCACCGCAAAATACAAATTTTTGGGTGCATTTTTTTAACATTTTTTTAGGGTTAGGATTAGTGTTTAGAAGCAGGTTTTATAATAAACAAGTATAAATGGGTTTTAGAGGGTCAAATAGAAACTCCTCATTTCATTTTAATCCGATTACCCCCGTTAATATCAACCTCATTAATATCCACCTAAGCCACAAACCAAATTTTTATAAATTTTTATATATCAAAATTCCCTCATATATATTAACTTTAATATGATTTCTTATTAATATCACTATCAACATGATTTAAAACCAATTCAAATAGGTTGATATTAACAAGAGTAACCTGTAGTTATTGCATGAGAAGTATGCAATAACTGCTGTATTTTACGGTGATAATGATTAGTTGGTAACCCAGTCAGTATGGCTAGGTTACCGAATGATTAGAAGAGAACATAAAATACAGAAGTTGATGTATATAGGAATATACAATATCAGTTTTATTCAATAATTTACTATCTTAGTTTATAAAATAAGATCAATAATTTTATTATATAAAAAGTATTATAAAATAATTAATTTACAATCAAACCTGTTTGAAAATCAAGTTAGTTACTAAGGCTAATTGTATAAATTGCTTAATTGAATAATACATATATACTGTATATATCACCAATTTAAAAATTTCTGATAAGTTTAATAACTATATGGTATCAAGTTTATATAATGATAAATTATAAACATCCTTTCTTATAAAATAAAATTAAATACTGCTATAATATAATTTTATTTTTAAATATTATTAAAAAAAATTTTATTTAAATATTTTAAAATTTAAAAAAAATATATTTATAATAATTTTTCAGGAAAATTTGTCTAAAAAGTCTACAGATTAAAAGATAGTATAATTTGTATTTAGATATTTTTTATTTTATAAAAGCAAATTTTAGTATTATAGATTTGACCAATTAAATTTCAAAATTAGATTTTAAATTTAATAGATCAAATTGTAGAATAGGTTTTAAATATATATTAGAATTAGAATTAGCAGTAGAGTTAATAATATTTAATAGTTATATTAATAGTAATTAAAAAGTTTTTTTCAATATATATCAG